ACAACAAACACATTTTCCACAACCATCAGCAGCCTCAAGTAAAAGCAAAAAGGCCTCTTGTCTCTAATTTTAACTTTCCACACAGAAGATTCCAGGCCTCCATCGGGATGGCACCATGGTCTTTCAGAAGGAACATTTTGCCATCCATGTGTATTCCCCACTTCTAGTCTTCCAGGAAGAGATGGCCAGGCCACCCGGCCTCCCCAGGTACCAACCCTGACCCTCGCTGATGTTCTGAGATGGTTCATAAACCCTTCCCCCTTTTCCACAAGAAACAAGCCTTGCCTTTCTTACAGGCTCAATTTTGAGTCCCTTTCTTGCATTGTACTGCTCTTTCCCAGATCTTCGCGTTTCTCTCCACAATCCTCCTAAGGTACAGGCCTAACCCCAATTTCTGAATTGGCTTCGTGGGGGTCTTGTGCTCAGCAGCAGGATGCAGCAGTCATTATCCTGAGAAATGGAGTCTCCAAGCCAGACGAAAGGATTGCTGCTGGGTATTTGGAGTGTTGCCAGATGACTACCCGCTACCGTGCATTAGAACTTTCGGGAGATTGGCCTCCATTTCTCTTTCTGTGTCTGCCTCTCTCGGCCTATCAGTCCTGCAGGCTCATATGCTCGGCCTCTGGCTAGTAACTGACTCGATCTCCGAGGCTTGCCCATTGTTTCTCTGACCTTTTAGGCTCCCTGTAAACTCCACTCCCCACCTGTGACTATGTTGGTTACTTTCCACTGTGACAAGACACAAGACACGTGACAAAAGCAACCTAAAGGAGAAGTTTATAATAGCTCACAGTTTTGGATGGGGTGCGAGGCAGCATAGCACAGAAGGCACAGAAGTTGGGGAGGGGGCACTCCTGTCTGTGGCAGAGAGTTTGAGGTGACATCTCACGGCTGATGGATCAGGAACCAGATACCTTGGACCAGAAGCAGACATTACCTACAAAACCAGTGATTCACTTCCGTTGCCTAGACCACCATGCCAAAGGCTCTGTGCCCTCTCAAAGCATCAGCTGGGGACCAAGCGTTCAAGAGTGCGCATTGTGGGGAGTTTCACACTGATTCTCCACACCAAGAATCTCTGTACAACTAAGCCCATTATTGCTTTTTCCTTAAATAATCAAGAGTTAAAGGCGTACTAGCCCACAGCTGTTCCTAGAAAGTACACAAAAGAAGCTTGCGTCTCTCTACTAAGGCTGGCGGATGCCCAGCAACTCCTTTTGTAGGATCTGCGCCCCCCTCTATGGAGAATCTCATACAGAATGCAGGTTCCCTACCCCCTCTATGGAGAATCTCATACAGAATGCAGGTTCCCTAAAAGCCACATCCGCATACAGCGTCGACTGCCTTCTTTAATGGAATAGAATTAAATTGACCTGGTTTAATAAACTCTCCTAGCATCTCATAGTCTCTTGAGTGACTATGAAGTAATTGTTCCATCCCCATTGCTAAGACTAATATTAAATTAAGTAGTTAATAAAAATGTTTTCCATCTTAAATAATTGGTTCTAGTCCATTATTTCATGATAATAATTTGGTAATGCTAGTGATTATGTAAAACAACCATGAATCTTTCCAGGGGGTGGATTCCATACCATCCAGCCTAAATCATGGAATTGTTTCCTTGACTCTTCTCTTCCTCTTTCCATCCTGGCTTGGCATTTTCATCCAAATGTCAACTTGCTGAACTTGTTGGCAGAGACAGAGTAACAAAAACAATGAAGCAACTCTTTTTTTTTTTTTTTTTAACAGCTAATTAGGAAAAGCGGCTACAAGGAAGCATGGCTCCTACCTCCTAGACCTTGACACTCACAGGACGAGCTGCTCGTGGGTCTTGTGAGCTGCCTTTGAGTTGTCCTTTGTGTCTCAGCACAACTAGAGATTGTCAGTATCGCTAGAGACCAAGGCAATGCCCACACGGTTGGCCACATTTACCATCTTGCTGCATGCTGAGCTAGCACTACATGCCTGGGTCACCCTGCAGCCTCTGCCTCCATAGGGAGTGCTACTCAAAGATGCTGTGTTCAGAGAGAGAAGCCATGAAACCATTTCCACAGCTTCCTGCCTCCAGAGCAGGTACACGCTTTGCGGGTCCTATGAGTCACGAGGGCAGGTATGTGTGTCATGAAAAGAGGTCCAAGATAAGAGCTAGGCCTGAGTCCTGGAATCAATTCTACAATGGATTGAACACCCCCCCAAATTATTTCTGCTTTCCAAAACTGGGTTTCTCTACGTAAGTTAAAAAATGTTGCCAGTTCGCTTCTGTTTTGTTTTGTTTTCCCAAAATGGGAATTGATCTGAGGTGGTGTTTTGCTGGGGGTTAACTGGTTAAACTCTGTTATTATAGATGCCCTCTTGTTCCCAACAAGAATAAAACCTCCGTTTGTCATTCCTTTCCTTCACACCTTCTGACCTTCCCTAGCCTTCTTCCATAACAGGAGGCAGGCCACAGCACAGGACCTGGGCAGTGCCAGGATCTGCACACACAGCTTGCTGCCATTGTGTTCGCTTTCCTTGTGAGGTGCTAACGGGTGCTGATCCCCCTATTTTTAGCTGTGACGTAACATCTCCCCTGGAAACAAAAGGCGTCCGTTAAAAGGACAATGTTGAGTGTATGGAAAGCCAAGTGAAGGGGTGACACACTGCACTGATGTGCAGAAATGCCATGTGGCAGCTAAGGGATTGGCATGGGGAAGTACCTGACGTGTTCCTACCTCCCCTCCCAGACCGAACCTCTGTGACGCGTCTGCATTCGTGGAGCACAGCCATCTCTCCAAGGCCCTCTGTTTGGGGACAGGAACTGAAGGGTGGCCGGGATCAGCTGGCGCTTCTCCTCCGAACGCCAATCTTTGCGCACACTGTCCTTCCACTCCCAGAGACTGCAGAGTTTTCCCGCAGGCGCCTGACGGTCCAGCCAGCCGCGAACGTCACCATGCGCATACTGAACACCGACAGCATGCCATCCTAAAACTCTGTGTGCGCATGCATGCACATACCTCTAACCACCTTTCCTTTTGTTTTCTTCACAGTTCATTTATGATGAAAAAGTTTCTTGGTAAGTAGCTCTTTTTCCCTTCTAACTGTCTCTTTTCATAATATGGACCCAAATGCATTGCAGGCTGGAGTTGAGGTTTAGAAGGGGGTGGGGGGGAGGCAGCAAGATGGCTCAGCAAGTAAAGGCACTTGCTGCCAAGCCCAGCAACCTTGGTTTAATCTCTGGAACCCATATGATCAAAGGAGAGAACCGGCTCCCACAAGTTGTCCTCTGTTCTGCACACCCATAGCTGGCATGCTCTCTCTCTTTCTCTCTCTCTCTCTCTCTCTCTCTCTCACAAATAAGTAAATAAGTACATCTAATTTGGAAAAGAAAGGAAATGTCCTGACACCTTGGAACAACCAGGATTTCTTAGAATCCCCCCAACCTCTCTCAACAAAGACATTAAATTACCTTTGTCCAAGCTTTTCCCGTGGGCTGGGGCTATGGGATTCATAGCTTCATATTTTGGTGTCTTCATTATAGAGGGTGGATGTTGTAAATTTTCTGTGTCTTTCTTTAGTCAGCCATTGCTGAACCATGGTTGTGGTTTGACTCATCTTTTTATGCCTGTGTCAGTCAGCTTCCCATCACTATAACAAAGTTAATGCAGAAAAATCAACATATAAGGGGAAAAGGTTCATTTTTGCTCCCAGTTTGAAAGGTTTCAGTCCTTGTTCTGGTAGCAAAGCAAAGTAAGAGGGAATGTTTGGCAAAACAAAACCATTCACGCATGACAGAAATCAATATCAAAAGCCCCCCCCCCCCGTTTTCTTAATCCTACTGACCCGATAACCTCCCCCTGGGCCCTTCAGATGTTCACCAATTCCCAGTAGCTCCAAGCTTGGAAGCAAGCCTTTAGGGGAACATTCTGTGTCTGAGCTGTAGTGCGATGTGAATCAAGTTCGGTACTCCAAGCCTCGGTGACATCTTCGGAGTCACGATCCAGCACATCACGGACAGCTGTCCATTAAAGCGCTGCTGAGACCCCAAAAGGAATCCGTGGCTCTGGGAGTCTGTGTTGATTTAGATAGATGTTGTTCAATTAAATATATGGAGGGATATTTGCATTTTGACCAGCTGTCCAAAGCCCCCATTCTTGAAATGAGTTCCAAGTAATTCCAATATGTTTGAAATGGAAATAGAAATTGGGTGTCCTATGCATTCTAGTTACAGCTTTTTTTTTTCTCCAAATGTTTGATCTGCCTAAGTAGAAGAAAATGAAAACCTTCTTAGAAATAGGAGTGACTCTGTAGCTAGAAACTTCCACGGTGTTACTTTGAGTTAAAAATGAGCTAGAAAAAGAGGCAGAGAATTTCTGTGGCTTTACTTTCAGAAAAACGTTCTCAGCTTTTCTTCTCTTTTCAGCAGCTGTGCCTCAGTCTGAGAGTATCTCTCTGGGTTCCAGAAATTAGGGATAACAAGGGCCTACCTCAGTGATGAGGAACATTATAGGGTAGCTATGGCAACACATAGAGATTAACTTCCTGTAAGACTGATCTCTGTTTTCCTTTAAAAAAATAAATAAATAAATGAAATGAAACCTGTCAAAATGTTTGGAAACACAGTTATTAAAAAGAGTGATTAAAAGCCTGAAAGAAGTCAAAATGGCTAGGTGCACCCTAGGTCCCATATCTGCTACGGGTGCTGTGCTCAAGGGCAGCACATCAGGGTCATTTCTGATCTCAGCAGCTGTCTCCACTGCTGGAATGGTCATTATCTGGGTGAGAACCTGTCATCTTAGGAGCGCTCTCCCTTGTGCTAAATCTCATAGCCTGAGAATTATGGCAGGGAGAGATGAATGCAGATATCCTAGTAAACCAGCTTTGGTGGGGCTCTCACAGAACACTTTAAGGCATCTAACATGTCTTAGAGCCAGAAAGGGGAGCTGATTTCCTCTTCATTCCAAAGGTGCCTTAGTCACTGTTTTATTGCTATGATGAGACACTATAACCAGGGTAACTCTTATAAGAGAAAGCATTTTATTGGGGCTGGCGTACAGTTCCAGAGGTTCAGTCCATTATCATCATGACAGGAAGCATGGTGGGACTCAGGCAGACATGGTAGCTTGGAGTTCTGCATCTGAATCTAAAGGAGAAGGAAGACAAGATAGAATCACGGGGCCTGGCTTGAGCTTCCGAAACCCCAAAGCCCACCCCCAGTGACATATTTCCTCCAACAAGGCCACACCTCCTAATCCCTCTCAAATAGTACCACTCCCTAATGACCAAGAATTCAAATATATGAGCCTATAAGGAGCATGCCTATTCTAAACAACCACAAGAGTGTTCTCTGTCTTATTTGTGTGTGTGTGTGTGAGTGATATTGGGTAAACCTTTACTAGGATAGAGGCCAAAGCCTTTTACAAGAGATTCTAGATTTTGCAAAGAAACAGGTCATTAAAGTGTCTGTATTCTGAACACCAGCAGTCCTGTCGGTGGAGTCAGGAGTACAGACAAAGCCAGGAGGGCACAGATGCATTAGACACAAACAGTGTGCAACTTGGTGCTAGCCCTGGGGGATGTTAGAATCAAAAATATCTCAGAGTTTCCTTCCAAAGATTGGAGCTAAGGGCTCTCAGGACTCTGAGTCCCATGATTCTCTGAGTGCTGGTCTGTTGTATAATCACCGTTACTGCATGCATGGGCTGACAGAAAGAATTTCTCATATGAGTGAGACCGAGAAATTAAACTCTGCAGCACTGGCCCTTTGCTGCTCTAGGGATTCCAAGAATTTCAGTTCCTCATTGTAGAAGATGCAAAATGTATTGAACTTGAAGGTGCTTTTCACTGTTTGCTTCTCCTGTCTTTCTACCTGCCAAGTATTGACTTATCTGGGAGATTGTGGGCAGGAGCTGATCTCTGTCTTAAAATGAGACTCTTCAGTGTGCCCAGTGAAGGCTCAGCAGAGTTAGTGATATCATACAAGCTGAATTTCACCCTTTTCTTACAAGATAGTCCAGCAGCTCCTGGAGATATTAAGGCAGGTGATTAGCTCACTTCATGTCTTCAGAAGAAAACTGATTGCAGTTGTGTTGATTTTGAAACAAGCGTGCTCTTTAGGAAATAAATACTGCCAAATACAAATGCAGCGGTCTCTCAGGATTTGTGAAGAATTGGTTTCAGGACTGCCGATGATGCCAGAATACATGGTTGTTGTAGCCCATATGTAAAATGTCTTGGTATTTACCTTCTCCTGTGTGCTTTAAGACACCTGCAGATCACTAACGCCCAGTGAGAATGCAAATGCTGTTCAAATAGCAGGGCGGAGGTGTTCTCATGTATTGCATTGTGTGAAACTGGATCAGCCATTCTCAGCCTGTGGGTTGTCACCCTTTGCGGGTCGGATAATCCTTTCCCAGGGGTTGCCTAAAACTATCCTGCATATTAGATACTTACATTATGACTCACAACAGTAGCAAAATCACAATTATGAAGTAACAACAAAAATAATTCTATGGTTGGAGGTCACCACAACATGAGGAACTGTATTAGAGGGTCACAACATTAGGAAAGTTGAGAACCTCTGTCCTAGATTGTTCATGCAATTGTCTTAGTTTAATTTCCTACTGCTGTGGTAAAATATCCTGAGAAAAGCAACTCTGGGGGGAAATGGGTTTATTTTAGCTCACAGTTCTTAGTTCTACAGTACAGACTAGTAGAGAAGTCTCAGAGGCAGAATCTTAGGAGAATTGGTCACATCACGTCTGCATTCAGAAGCAGAGAGCATTGAAAGAATTCATGCATTCTCGTGTTAAGCTCACTCTCTCCATTCTTACAAAGTCCAGTATCTACCGCCCAGAAAATGATGCCACCTGCAGTGGGCATCTCTTCCCATGAAGCTAGATAATTGTCCTCACAGACATGTCCACAGCCCAACCTGGATGTCCTTCTAGACTGTGTCAAGTTGGTGCTAAAGTAACCATGACGTGAATGATAGTTTTAAAAAAAAAAAGCATCTGTATATGTTCAGAACAGATACAATTTTTAAAATATTTTCGACTTGTGGTTGGTTAAGTTATAGATGTAGAGCCTTTTATAGTTATCTGGGCTAACTATGTAAAAAGACAAGGTGTCCCCACCGCATCAAAATGAGCCCATTGTACCATGTGTTCATGTTCAAGTAAGAGGTGGGAGCCAGGAATCAGTTGGGATGCCTTTAGTAGATAAGCAACCAGCCATCACCTATCTTAGATTCGCCATGGATGTTTCTCCTGCTCTTGCCTCATAGTCCTAAAGTGCCTACTGTGGTTCTACCCATCACATGTGTATTAAACATGAGAGGGAGGAACATGAGGCTTTGACACCTTTCTCAGACCCTGTCAACTTACACATCTTTGATGGCCAGGACAGGAGCAACAACTGCAGCTTTAAACCAATTGTTATTGATTTTGGGACCCAAAGGAGGGACTTGCCTTTCTTGAGATCAGCTGTTGCCTCAGTGCAGTAGTTATATTCCTGGACAAGAGATAGGGGATGTCTTTCTGTTAGGCGGTTCCAAAAGACACTTAGAACTGAAAACATGAGAGACCCTGTTAGATTGTCCTTCAGGACAAGGCCTGTGGATACGATAGCAGGGCAGCCAGAGTCACAGTGTCAGAAGGAAGCTAAAATGTGTGTGTGTGTGTGTGTGTGTGTGTCAGGATTCCAACGGTTCAAGAAGAAGCTCAAATATCCAGAGTACTGTTCTCATTGTTCAAGTTGTGACTTTGGGAGACAAAAGTAGCTCTGAGAATACCATCTGCTCCTCCTGGGGTCTGTCATGAGCTGGACCTAGCACATAGCCACAGACAATGATGACCTTCAGGTTAACAACTGGCTGGTGGACAGGCAGTGGATGTGTTGTCAGAAGGCATTTTGAGGTGCTTGCAGCACTAAGAAAAGGTATGTGTAGAGGATCCATGAGACGAGGGCCTCGAATAATCAGCTAGGCAAAAGAGCCAAGGGAACAGCAGGCGACCACAGAGGCCTCAGCAGCCAAATGTGTTCAGGGTAGAAAAGACAAGCACACAAAAGAAGCCAACATTGAAAAAGAAAGGGAGGGAGGGAGAGCCAACAATGAAAAAGAAAGGGAGAGAGGGAGGGAGGAAGGGAGGGAGGGAGGAAGGAAGGAAGGAAGGAAGGAAGGAAGGAAGGAAGGAAGGAAGGAAGGAAGGAAGAAGCAATTGAGACAGGAATGGGGTCTTCCACCCTTAGTGATCCTGAAAAATGGCCAACAGCCAGCTTAAAAAGGGCTTGCTTTGAGGAAGGGAGAAAAACCTCAAAGAATGAGAAGGATTACAAGAGTGTTCAGGAAGTAGTGGGTTTAAGCTGGGCATCACGGTCCACACCTGTTATCCCAGCACTCCAGAGGCTGAGGTAGAAAGGTTGCAAGTTTGAGGGCAGTCTGGGATACAACATGACAAAAAAGATTTTTAAAAAAGAAGAAGGAAGGAAGGAGGGAAGGAAGGAACGGAAGAAAGAGAGGAAGGAGAGAATTGACTACTGAATTTGGTTCTTTTCCAGTGACCTCACACTAAAATGCACCTTTCTTAGGGGGACTTACCCATGAAGTTGCTTTTCCATGCACATGAACGGCTGCTTCTGCAGTGATTCAATAGGGGGTCAGACTCGAGTTATCTTCCTGGAGACTGAAGCCAAGACTATGACTACATCTGGGACAGTTGTGATGCCCAGAGGCCTCTCACATGCCAAGTGCTTTCTCCACGGGTAAATGCATGGGGCTGAAGAGATGGCTCAGTGGCTAAGAGCACTGGCTGCTCTTGCAGAGGACCTGAGTTCAACACCCAGCACCCACATGGCAGCTTACACCTGTCTGTAACCCCAGTTCCAGGGGATCTGACACCCTCACACAGACATACATGCAGGCAAAACACCAATGCACATGGACAAATGCATAGTAGCAAAATAATTCTTAAGGAGACATGGGAGCATTGTGTGGACACTGGGTTTCCATGACCAGCCCCATTTTAGTCTGTATTGATGGGATAAAATAATGAGCTTTGTTGTTACCTTCCCATGCATGCACATCATATACTTTGATCACATTCGTTCCATTATAATCTCTTGACCCCCCCGCCTTCCATTGGCCTCCATCCCAACTGTTAGTCTTACTTTTACTTTTATGTCTTATTTTTCATCTGTATTTCACATATGAGAAAAAAATGATATTTATTTTTCTGAACATGGCTTATTTTCCTTGATATGACCATCCATTTTCCTGCAAACGATACAGTTTCATTTGTGTTTATGGCTGAATAATTTTCGTATATTGTATATTTGTAAATTATATATATATATATATTGCATATCTATATTTATATAGGCACCACAATTTCTTTATCCATTCTTCTGCTGGTGGACAGCCAGCTGGTTTCTATAATGTGCCACAATATGAGTGTGCCGGTGTCTCTGACGTATCCTATTGTACCCCAGCCCCTCTTTAAGACGAAACCACCTGAATTCCCCCATCTTTTCAACCTTATAAACATAACAGCACAAAACCTCTATGTATGCTTTATATAACAGGCCATATAATTTTTCTGGGGTTAAAGAAAGGCTAAAGGACCTGGAACTTCCTCCTCAGACCTCCCCAGTTCCCTTCCCTCCAAACCAAACATGCTCCTTCAACTAGTTTACAATGGCAGCTAAACTGGGCTTCAAAACATAAGTGTCCTGAGCTCTAGCTGCAGTTACTAAATAAAGAAAGTGAAAGAATTCAGACCCTAAGAGGTGCAAGGACATTCCTGTCACTCAGTTGTTTTCCTTCCTTTTTCTTGGCTGTTTCACCTTGGGTTCTTTCTGTGATTTGGTTTGGGCTTTCTATTTTTGTGTTTTCAGATGCAGGATCTCACTCTGTAGTCCAAGCTAACCTAGAAATCACCATCTAGTGTACTTTCAAGAATGACAGGCTCCAGCCACCGTCCCCCCTGACCAGGGCTCTCTCACTCATTCTCACTCTTCCTGCTGACACCTTTCCACTCAAGAAGTTCTGGGTGTCTCTCTCCCTCAGTATAGCTGCTCTTAGTACTACCCAACTCTCCTTATCTCTGTGTCTCTTTCTTCTCCCTGTCTCTTTCTGCATCCAAC